CTCGTCCAAATCGTCGATCCAGTTCGCCACGCTGGTCGTGTCGGTACCCGCGAAGGACACCACAACGACCCCTGTGCTCCCCACAATATAGTATGCATGGCACGATTTGGCCGCATTCTTACTGAGCGACACATGTCAGACGGAAATTTTCGTGCCGCGGCTTGTCACAAAGGTGCCCTCAGATTCCACCAACAGATAGATCGAATTGTGGATAACTTCCACACCCCCCTTACCTTCCACAGGATCCCAACCCACGAAGCCATTTCCATTGTGAACGTTGTCGTACACGCGCCTGACCTCCGTGCGCGGGTGCCGGGAGCAGGCACTGGATTTGAGAAGGAGAGAGGACGTGAAGATTGCTTGTCGATGCGAAGTTATGGCCCATGGTCAGACCCATGCTTCCTATCACGCGCATCCCTTTGGTAATTTGTTCCTTCTCATGCACTTACCTGCATGCCCACGCTTCACACGCGCTAGTTCTGCAGTAATAGGCTGCTGCAGCATAGTCGAGCATCACCCTGACAGCGGTTTCATTGTAAAAGCTGGAATTCTGCTGCTTGGTATTGGCCAGGCGCGCAGCGGCTTGACAGGTGATACTGGTGAGGAACAAGACACAAGACGACACCAAACTAGATAAAATGACCCCTTTTATCCTTGTCTTGTGGTGCGGAGGCATTCCGGAGAGACGACGGCCCTGTAAAGGTGCATAGAAAAGTAGAATGTGAGGAACAGACATGCCAGTTTACCTCCTTCCTGAAAGCGCATTGTGAACAGCTCCCTCCGAGAATGACGATCTGTACAGGTACTAGCTAGCTTTCTGACACGAGAAATAGAGTAGCATGCTTACTGTTGCGCCGGTATCAACACTGTTGGATGGATAACGGACATGTAGAACAAAAAGCAACATCAAGAGCGAGAGGAAACGCTGCCAGACGAGAAGAAAAGCGAGGCAACGACGTATATGGTTTGATACATCGCAAACACGCGCCTGTGCGAGACAAGAACACTGAAAGGCATGCGAGAATATGCATGAAAGATTGCCGCCTCCTTCGCCGCAGGTAATGCGGGCCAGGCCGTGGCACTTTTAAATGTGGTACTCCTCCAGCAACCTCGCACGCAAGGAGGGTCGTCACGATCGATCCTTAGGCCCGATCGACCCCACCCCGATGATAGACCACTAATCAGCCCCTGCACACATCCTCCATCATCCTGTCGCCCGGCATAATCTATCAGGGCACGTGCAGCAGGATCATTGGGAGCGGCCAGGTGCTGGAGGTGTTTTGAAAGACTGGCACCGGGTTGAGGACGAGCATGCTGGTGACGGACAGCACTTCCGGGGAGGCTAGCTGGCCTCCACAAAGACGAAATACCGTCTCCCCTAGTATTTCACCCCGAAAACACATCACGCTTACCTCTCTATTTGTTTTTGGGCTCCTATCGTGTCTGGTACTCTTGCCAGTAGAGGCCATCAAGCGTGCTTCCACCCCTGCCGGAAACAAAGCCTCGCGACCGTCCCCGTCCCCTCCTAACCCAAAAACCAGACCGACCGACGACGAAAAATCTCCCAGCCCGCATCCACCCTTACGCCAAGCAAAAAGAAGAGACACGTGTGAAAACCACAGGTATGACTTTTTCTTGCGGTCTCGAAGGAATTTACCTGTATCAACCTCCTGCTCTCAGGGTACCTCGATGCACTCCTCACGCCGTCGTCTCACAAAGCCTGCACCTCTTCCACACACGTGCCCGCCTGCCTGTCAGCCACGGTGAGGCATTGACCATCCATTTACTCCTGAGCGACGGTCAGGATCGCGTGCTCTCCCTCCCCCCAGCCACCACGCCGCAGACCCTCCGGCATCACCTGCTCGCTCAAGGCCTGGTCGCTTCCCATCAAGCCGACGGTAAGCCCATCGCCTTGCTGCTTCTCGACCTCTCTCTCCCCTCCCTCGGGCTACGGTGTCCGGTCGGTGGCAGTGGGACGTTTTCGAAAGGCTGTACTTTTGTCAAAGGTAATTGACCTGCTCTCCCCCTCACGCTAGGACTCCGGGTGAGAAGACAAAAACCTGGCGGGCGGCCCTTCACGAAAGGTGCGGCGGGATGGGAGGGAAGACGCGTAAGAAAGCAGGGGGAAATGTCCGCGCTGAGAGCACCGCGACACAGCGTGGGGGGTCTCACGACATGTTTCCCCCCAGGCCTAGCTACTCTGACCGGCCTTCAAGAGGGAGACACGATCCTCCTGCCCCCCTCCTCCTCCCCCTCCTCCCCGCCTTCCTCCTCCTCCTCCTCCTTCGTGCCCTACCCCGAGTATGCATACACGCCCGCAATGGATGGGAAAACCACCAGCTTTCGGGAAATGGAGCTGTATAAGGTTGGCAAGGGCGGGGGGAAGGGGAGGAAGGAGGGAGGGAGGGAAGGAGGACGAGGCGGAGGGCTGCGGGAGGAATCGAAAGATTTATCCTAGGACGGCCTCCCACGCGCCACCCCCAAAAAACGTTTCGCGCCCCTGTCCTCTCACTGGCAAAACGCGCCGCGTCCCCACCCCCCAACGTCCTTCCCCTGCAAGGACCCCGCGCCACTCCCCCTCCCCCTCGTATCTCGCCCAGAATCTGCAGCCCCCTCCCTGCTATCCTTATCATTCTCTCCCTATCATTGAGCAGGTTAAGCGCCCGGACTCCCCTTTCCTGGCCCGGGTCTCTGTCAATCCCTCCGCCGTAACCGCCTTCGTGTCGCGGCTTCCCTCAGGAGCACGGCGGGTGGGGCTTCTTTACGGATGGGTGGGGGAAGGGAGGGAGGAAGGGAGGGAGGAAGGGAGGAATGTCGGTCACGTGGCAGCTGTTCTGGAGGTGGACGAGGAATGGCAGGTGCATGGGTGCGTGGAGGGAGGGGGGGAGGGAGATCTTACGCGGCTTTCTTCCTTTCCTCTCATCCC